CTGTCGTGTCATTTCTTTAAGTAGTCTTCAGGAATAGTTTTCCAAACTTCTTGAAGGACATTCAAAGCTCTTCTTTGGATGTTCTCTGTCAAGATGATCACACACAGCTTCAGTAATCTGGGGAGGCCAATCCATGACAGAGTATTGATGGATATTTTCCTATTTCTCATGGACATGACTTTCAGATACTATTCATCTGCTTTGGATATTTTTTTAAGGCCTGTCGCATCTTCTTTTTGTCCCCCACTTGCCGAATTTCCTCAAATTTTTTGAAGGACACACTGAACACCATGCCAAGATATGCCAAGTTTTCAACCATACCTATTTTATGCCTGTCAGCCTGATATATCTTTGTAGATTCACCTTAAGAGATGTGCTTTTGTGACACTACACTGCTGCTACTAGCAGCAAAGTGCCTAAAGATACAACTTGAATGATTCAGTTTAGTGTAAAAGAACGTGGTTTACCAGCCTCGAGAACTATTCCTCAAGCCCACTTTAAAAATGACAAGAAGGTCATTTAAAAGTCATCCCAGTGGAAGCAAGATATGAGGGGTAGCTCAGGACTTTTACACAGTACTCTACATACGTTTTCTACTGAAGCTATAGGTTCAAAGGGACACATTTGGCAAATGAGTGGATTGAACGTTCTCACGTGTTTTGTATCGACGCATTTGGTTCGCTTTGATTTTTCTTTGAAAAATACTGAAAACAAACCAAACCACAGGAAATCGCTCCAAGTTTAAAACTGATTTGAGTCAATGAACGACAGGTGTGAAAACGCCCTAAGTTGTGAATCACTGCTCAAACTTTATCTGATTGTTTTAAATTAAGAAGAATATCTAAGCTTTTCCTTCACTGGACATGAAATCTGAATGGAAGTTTTATCTCAGTGCGATCTCTGGAAAATTCTGGTATTTAACTCAAATTCTGCATTCATACAGTGATCTCTTTCCACATGGAGGGAACAACTGGCAGGTTAGGACAGACCAACGTGCGATGATAAACTGTAGTTTAAGAAAATAAATGTATGCAACTGGGAATTTTGGGCAAGTCAGGACTGATTTCATACCTTGAGATGCTTCATAAAGCTGGCCTCTATCGCCACCCTACAGCCCCGTATCAGAGCTGTGCCGCTGCCTTAAAGCCAAGGGGTTTAAACAAATAACTGAAACGTGGCAGTTCTTTAATGTGTCACCAGGGTCACGTAAGCCAATAAAGCAGAAGCAGTGTGAGAATCGAGCAGCGTCTAATGGGCTGAGGCAGAGTGTTTTAAGTGCCAAGGCTGCAGCAGAGCAGAGCTGATGGCAATCTACCAACTAGCAGTGAAATCTTACCCGGCCACAGGCTTCAGAGGCAGCCAGTGTTTGCAGACCAAAGCATCGTAATGTTTAATGACAAACATGCAGCTGTGTTCATATGAAACATGATGAGAGGAGCTCTAATTGATGAACAGGATTGTGTGTTCTGGAATTGGCGAAGGGTAACATAGCAAAGAAAAGCGGAAGAAATGTACCTTTTTTAAAACTTTCATGGCAAATATTTTGCCCGCTGCAGCGCCAACAACCTTTCGAACTTGAAAAACCTGCCCAGGGAGGAAAGGGATCGACATGTCAAAAAGATGCACTTTAAGAAATGCAGGTCAAACCAATAACAGACACCAAGGAAAAGAGAGCGCTTTGTCAAGGCAATGATTACCTTTCCGTAGCCACCCTTCCCCAGGACGCGCAGCAGCTCGAAGCACTCCGGTCGGATGTTCTCTGTGCCCTGATTGACGTTGTCCTCGGATATCTCGATCTTCTCGCAGTCATCCATGTTGCTGCAGTGAGACATGTTCGACTTTCTATTATGCCCGTGCCTCTTTTTGACCTCTTTGGTTATAAAAAAATCTCACACAAGTCAAGTTTTAAAAACTTACAACTCAATGCACTGCTCCATGAGATCAGCGATTTGACCCTGGGAGAAAAAGAGGAAAACAAAACAAAGTTGTGAAGGATTTTTCTTCGTTTTTGTCATGAACAGAATCCACAGCAGCCATGGTGTAAATGGTAAATGAACTGGGACTTATAAATAGCGCCTTCCTACTAAAGTTTTTCAAAGTGCTTCTTTCTACACGTCTTATTCATCCAATCACACACGGGACTATTCACTATCCCTAAGTGCTTTTTCTAACACTCACACTCTGATAGATGCACCCAGGGAAACTTTCAGTTTGCCCAAGGATACATTAATATGTGGACTGAAGGCGACATATTGTGTCGTTGTGTCCCAAGGACACAACGACCAGGACAGAGAGCCTGGGGATCGAACCGGCGACCTTCCGGTTACAGATGCGCTTCCCAACTCCCTGAGCCACGGTCGCCCTTCATAAGGACATACCCAGTCTTCTACGTGTTTAAGTAACAACTACAATAAAGCGTTTCTAACACTGTGCTTAGCAGCATGCAGGGCAACAGCTGTTTACATTTAGAGCTGACTTGTTTCATCAATAAATTCTTGTGAATTCAGTTACTCAGCAGCTCTTTTGAATATTGATTAATGCTTCCAATCAATCTTTAGCAAAAAATACCAAACATTTTCTTCTCACAGCTTCTCCACTTGCTGGTTTTTTTGCCTTGCAATCAGTAATAACTGATCTACAACTCACTTAAATAATCACTCATGAAAACAGTAAATATTTATAGCAGTACCTAAATTATAGCCTCTTGCACAATAGCCTTAATAAAAAAAATCTTCCTCTTTAAAGAGGCTGATGTGACCTTTCAGCAAAGCTTTCTTGATAAAGTTTACACATATAGACAGTGTGTGCTGTGTATTGCACTCTCTTCTGTTCAGCATCTGCACTTGGAAGTTTTTTTTTTCTTGTTTTTGTAATAAGAAGCCGAGACTCTGACAGCAGCTCTTCAAAGCCCCTCATTTTAAAAATGCAGTGTATTTCTGGAGTATTGCTGCCTTTTATATCTCAGCGAGAACAGAAACAAGCGGACACTCCGGTGCACATTCCCACTCTGGCTGTCACAGTCCTGCCAAAATAAACTGTTGCGCTCGGAGCCACATTTATCACTGCAGCACCTTTGGCCAAGTAAGGACGTCTTGCTCAACTCCCAACATGACAGCGCTGGGCTTTGACACAGCGTCAGCACCGTGCGCATGTCATCGCCGGATCACGTTAGCATTAAAGCCGGTGACAGCTCTGTCGCGATCCCGGTCATGCTAATTAGCACTAGCTTCGGCTATGTCCCTGTGTGAAAAGGGCCTGAGCTGTCCGGCTGCAGGAAAAGGCCTGCGGGCGGCTGTCAGGCAGGCTACCAGGCTAAGCAGCTAGCTTCCGTGCGTGGAGAGTTTCTGCTGTGACAGCTTTCGCGGTAAATCGTCAGCGTCTCCCGCTAAAGTATACCTCCTCGTTCTCATCGTCGGAGACATTTTCCTCCGGCTGGTCCAAATCAATGTCAAACACTCCAGCCATGGCAGCGCTTCGCTCGGATCGCTCTGTCACACACCGCAAGAATAGCAGGAGTCCCCCACCTCATGGACAAACACACACCGCCGCCATAACCGGCTACTACACTGAGCATGCGCACTGCGGCACTCACAAGTGGGCGGTAACCTCTTTTCATTTTGTCACAAATACGCTACACTGCTTTTTTCACAAGTTAGGATTCACTGCTGGGAATTCCTCCTCTGGCTTTTATTTAATTCATAAACTTGGAAATTGTTATATTCGTAAATAAAATACGTTTATTTAAGCTTAAATATTATCAAGTAATGTGTAAGTCTAAAAGCCGGCAAAATATTAACATTCACTTTACAAGATTTGTAGACAAGGGTACTGTTAAATATGAAAGCTTGACGTAACTCTTGAAGGCAGAGATAAGTATTACAATTTGTAATAATACAAATTTTAAAATTTTACTAAACACTTGTTACATATCCTACAATGAAATATTAAGGCAACATTAAGAAAAAACTTCCTTTTGAGAATAAAGTCGAAATTTCGAGATTAAACTCGAAATTATATTTGCAAATTTTTTGTGTGTTTTTCCAGGTTGTGTGTGGTTTTTTTTTTTTTTGGCCAGATGCAGCTCTCTGCACCATCTCTTCAAGTCCTTCTGTTTATCACCACAATGTGTTTGTGTTTATGTGCTAAAAGATAAATATTAAACTATGAATGAACTAGAATCAGTTTATGCTTATTAAACTGATTCTGAAATACGATTTCATTTACTCATCGACAAAAGGCACGTGAAACAACTTTAATCTTCACGTTTCAATAGTATTTTAGTATAGTGATAGACTTTATTCTTAAAATAAAATCTTAATGTGGTCCTAAATACTCCTTTGTACCATTCATGCATACCTACATACAAACAAATGATGTGAAAACAATAAAAAGGAAAATTTTGAGTCATTATCTTGGTATTTCATTTACTAAGTATCTTGAAATTTATAGGTACTGACTTAGATTTGATAGCAAAAACGTTTTTCCAACCTAACAAACTACAGTACTTTTAAGTTTGTAAGTTATCGAACTTCTTTCTTTTAGTCTTCCTTTAGTATAATGAAACCATATCATATTTATATACAGACGAAACAAAAGGGACGTTTTTAGCTGACTTTGTTTATAGGATTTTTTGTAATGTGTTTATTTGAAGGTGTGTAATAAGTGTTTAATAACGTTCAAAAAAATTAAAATGTATTTGGATATACATGGTAGATGCTGACAAAGTAAATGGCAATTAAAGGTGGGTGAATCATCCAAATGTCAGTAGTGTCGGTACTGAATCTATACTAGTGCGTTATGATTGATACTTTGTTTCTATTCTCTTACGTTCAGTATGTACCCCACTGACTTGTGTTAAATAAATTATTTCTTTGGAAATAAAAATACATATGCACAAACCTTACACATGCACTATGAGAAAGGTCTGAACCTTTTTGTGTTGACTTTACAGAACAAGCTTTAGTTTGATTAAGTTTTATTTTGAAATTTTTGCCGGTTTCGACCGGAAATGCCAGTTCAACTTCTTGTGGCGGCTTCGCGAGCGCTGTAACACCAACGTACCAGATATATCTACAAAGGTATAGACAGCCCCGAAGTTATGAAGCGTTGCTCCATCAGCTCGAGGTTGCGGGTGTGTCACAGCGTGGGTGCCATCGCTCTGTGACCGGTACTGAGTCATCTGGGTGGAACATGTCTGTAGTAACAGTTCAGCTCGGTCAGTGTGGTAACCAGGTGGGTCAGGAGCTGTTTGACATCATTTGTAGCGATGCTCAGGAAGGACAGAGGAAGACGTACAGCGCTGCCAGCTGCGAGCGGTTCTTTCACCAGACTGCACAGGGAGGTACGACGCCTCTCTAATGGTACTAAACAAAGTCTGAGTCCCGTCTTCCGCACTCATGTTTCCTGCCGTGTTTTTCCCTACACCAGACCTCGTTGCCAGGGCGCTGTTGGTAGATATGGAGCCTAAAGTAATCAACCGGAGTATGAGCATGGCTGCAAAGTCTGGCAGGTGGAGCTATGGAGCGAGTTCTCACTTCAGCCAGAAGCAGGGCTCCGGAAACAACTGGGCTAATGGGTAAGGATGGGACAGTATGAGCCCACCTATTCTGGAATACTGTCATTTGATAGCATTCGCGCTGATCACCTGTTTCTTTTACTGATCTAGGTATTGTGTCCATGGTCCTCGTCACAGAGACGCAATGGAGGAGCTGGTGAGGCGGGAGGTGGAGCGCTGTGACAGACTGGCTGGGCTTATAGCAATGATGAGTGTGGCAGGGGGGACGGGGTCAGGTGTCGGCACCTACGTTACTCAGTGTCTCCGTGACATTTATCCATCATCCTTTATCTTCAACCACCTTACCTGGCCGTACGGGACTGGAGAGGTGTGGACGCTGACCTATCTTTAACGTGGTATAAAAGAGAATCGTGCTACCTTCTGACTGTTTACTTTCAGGTGATCGTCCAGAACTATAACTCTGTGCTGACGCTGGCTCATCTCTACCAGTTGTCAGACGCCATACTGGTGCACGAGAACGACACAGTGCACAGGATCTGCAGTCGGCTTCTTAACATCAAACACATCTCTTTCAGTGACGTCAACAGGGTCATCGCCCACCAGCTGGGCAGTATCCTGCAGCCTGCGCTCACCGCTGACTCCCATGGAGCATACAGCAGAAATCCTCTGGGTGAGAAAGGACAAACACTACTCACACCTGCAGTTGTGGACTGAAGTTTACACACTCATGGTGGGCTTGAATGTCATGGTAATTGTGGGCTTGTAATTGTTTTTTTTTTTTATTTGGGCTGCTGTTTTTCCAGGTGGAACCTTTGTACAGAATACATCTGTAATGATTTAAAAAAACAAGAGTTTGGTTCACAAGTTTGAATTTATTTTGGATTTTCCGTATTCCACACAGGGTCAGAAGTATACATACAGGTTCAAATGTATACATACATTCTGCAACACTTTTAGTAAGTGTTGCAGAAGGATCTGCAATGTCTTTTAACTTGCCGAGACCAATTCACTTCTTGTTAGTGGTCATGATTGAGTACATCTGGTATTTTCTCTTTGGCAGCATGACAAGGATGTGTTTCATAGCCCTCAGTGGATTGACCAATACTCAGAACACTAGGAAAGTCCAATGAACTCAGCGAAGATCTAAGAACATCTGTAGATTTGCACAAGTTGGGAAAGTCTCTGAGAGCCATTTCTAAAGAACTGCAAGTTCCAGGATCATCAGTTCAAACAATTGTTGGGTCATTAAAGATGTATAATCATATTCTCTGGGAAAAAAAAGCAGTTGAAACAAATCACTAAAGGTTCCCACAGAGTTTGCCTTTCTCACAATCCAGCCTTTTTTTTGTCAGGTGAATTGGTGAGTGCTCTTGCCTGTCATCCAGAGTACAAACTACTGAGCTTGTGCACCATCCCACAGATGGCCAGTTCCTCCATAGCCTACAGTACGTTTAGCTGGCCGGGGCTGCTCAAACACCTGCGACAGATGCTCATCTCCAACACAAAGATGGAAGAAGGCAAGTGCACACTAACGTAACCGTGTAGCCTGTTATGTCAATGAGATATTGTTGGAAGTGATAGTGAGAGGATCTTTGTTTGTCGTGTGACAGGTATAGACTGGCAGGTGCGTCCTCCTGCTGACTCTGGGCGGAGCAGGAGTCTCACAGGGAGCAGCTTTAACACCTCTCTGGCCAACCTTCTCATCCTGAGAGGGAAAGATGTCTACAGTGCAGAGACAGGTCAGATGGATGGATGAAACATTGATTTAATTTAATTAATAGGGGGAAAAGGCAGTGATTGTGTGAGTTTACCAGATAAATTTATGACAGTTGTGTAGGGGATGATGTTTCCAAAAGACTGATTAGAGCAATTCTTTTGTAATGATGTAAGTCTGCAGATTGTACAGAGCAGGGGATGTGAATTATGTGCTTATGTGCTTAGGTGGCATTGATGATCCAGCCCTGTACACCTCCTGGCTCTCACCCAAAGAAGCTTTCAGCTTGTGGAAATCCCCTGTAGCCTTTAATAAGTATGAGAAATCTGCCACGCTGGTCAGTAACAGCCAGGCTCTGCTCAGACCTTTGGATGACATGGTGGGAAAAGCCTGGAATATGTTTGCCTCCAGGTGGGTCAGTCCCTGTACATGCACAGTAAGGAAAAGCTGGTCCCAGAAGTATAACTGAGCAGACAGTTTCTCTTTTTAAAAATTCTTTTCTTTCACTTTTCCTGTGTTACAGGGCGTACATCCATCAGTACATTAAATTTGGCATCTCAGAGGAGGACTTCCTAGACAGCTTCACGTCTCTTGAACAGGTGATCTCCAGCTACAGTCAGCTGTGCTAGCACTGGGGACTACTGTGGCTTTCATGTAGATAAGAAAATAACACCTTATGTGTTTTGTATACATTTTTTTATATTGCTGCATTGATTTCACATAATTCTTTGAATTCCTGGACTCTGACATCTGCAATGGCGAGAACTGAGACACTGGATGTCTCTATTCAAGATATAATTCTGGAGCTACTTTATACGCTTGCATCTCAAGTAGTATAGTGTCAAGTTATAAGATGGGTAATAAAAGGCTACATTAGTAAAAAACTGTGTAGATCTATGCCAGACACTTGTTACCCCAGATTTGCAATCACAACACCAGACCTACCTCTCGGCTTCCTAGTAGATGCACCTATGGTATCAATTTGAAAATCCTAGATTTGAGAAAATTTGACCTGTGACCTTAAGGTCAAGGTCACTGCGATTCAAACTGGTTTGACATTTTTAATAGATACACCAATGGTATCGATGTTCGTCACCTTGTTCTTGAGTTATTGCATTCACAAACCTGGGCGTCCACGCCCCCTGTCCGACTGGGTGGCTACAAAGGCTGACGGGTAAAAAGTATATCAGAAGAAGATCACCTTGTGAAATCCTCGCTGAGGGATTTGCACAGATCCTGTAATGTGTGCAGCAAGATGCTGGAGATCTGCCAGTCATTCAGTCAGCAGCAAAGTAAATGGCACGTTGCTGGTGTTTGGTCGGGTCAGGAATCCACAACCTCAATGGCTAGAATCTGGAAGCATTTGAGTCAGTGAGGGGCAGGAGGTCACTGAACAAACTGCTCTCCCTCAGGGACAATCCATGTTACCTGCTCCACTCCACACTACTGAGCTCATTCTCCTGCAGCCTCATTCAACCACACTGCCATAAAGAACGCCTCAGGAACTAATTTCTCTAAGAAACTCTACCGCAGCTCTTCTTTTTATGACCGCTGAACACACCTGTCAGTTTCTTACATTTAATCTACATACATTTTTTTTAATTAGTGCTATTCCTACTATTCTTTTGCAGAATGTCTTATGTTTCTTTAACTTCAATTTTCTTCCATTTAATCAGTTGTACATTAACTTTTTGCACTACCTCACATTATTAGGCTTTCACCTGGGCCTGCAGTACTTTTGCAGTGTTTTTATTGTAGATTTTACTTTTTATTCTTAATCCTGCTGCTGTAACAAAGACATTTCCCTTGCAACAAGTCATGTGTTACATAATCAACCATAGCTACTGAAAACATAAGCGAGTGTGTATATTTCTTCTTCCCTTTTTAAGAATGCATCATGTTAAGTTTTTCTATGTAAATAAACTGTATTGGCTACAGCAGCTTAAATATGCATTAAGCAGTAAAATGTCCCAAGCTGAGATCAGCTTAAACGTTTACAGTTGAAACGCAATCAGTGATCATTTTGAAAGGCAGCACCGCACAAAGAAAAGTAGCAAAAGAATCACTTTTCATCTCTTTATTGTTCATGAGTTTTACACAGTAGAAGTGGAGTGACATAAAAGCAAAGAGTCTCTTTAGATAACAGCGTTGTCCGCACGCAGACCCACTAACGTGTAGCTGCGGTGCTTGAGACGAACCCAGAAATGCTGAAGGCCAACAACTTCAGCCAGCTTACAGACCGCTGTTGCCAAGCACATCCAACAGCCAACACCAGTCTGATAAGCTAGCTGATGGTGTGGAAGAGTGGTGTGAAGGAATGCCAAACCACATGGTTGGGGAGTCTCAACCATGAGCTGAAGTCGGCCAGGATCTACAGAGTATGTTTAAGAGTCGGGAAGGCAGGCAAGCTGAGAAATAATCAACATCAAAAACCAAATTCTGGTCCTACCATGAAGGATGTCATGCATCTGGTATTAAAAGCAATCAAAATAAGTGTGATAGGGCTGACGTGACACTTACCTTAAAGATGATTGTTTCAAAGAGACAATTACAAATTAAATTTTTTTGTGTTGGGTCTTAAACCTAACAGTATTACTCGGGGGGAAAAAGCCTCCATGGATGAACATTTCAGGAGAATCCAAACAAATGAGACTCAGTCTGGAGAAGAAGTGCCACGATTTCCATGTTTTATGTATGATCGGATCCCAGGTTCAAGTCAAATGTACAGAATAGAAATGGTACTAGTTAGCTGAGGGTACATCGTCACTTTACAAATGATATCGCCTTTTCTTGTGGGTTTTGGTTCAAGTTGACTCATGTTCACACAGACCATAGAATAGAAATACATCTGAACATACCGTCAAAAAGATAGTAAGATATTTACACAATGTGCAAAACATCAATACCACATCATCTGAAGTTGATATTGCTTTTTTCTCCCTCCTCTTCCTGCCATTTTTAAATGGACAATTCCAGAAACAAAAGACAAAATTGGTCTTACAGGACAAAAACCATGAGGTCAATGAAACCCTGAAAAGAAACACCATCCACAGCAGTTATCTTGGCAGCACGCTGTACAGACAAATCAAGATCCATCCATACACAAAGGTTACAAAATTAAATAAAAATCAAGTCTATAAGTCAAGAGCTATATTCAAGGGAGGTCACGCCTTCCCGTCTTGCATAAGGCATAGCATCTGATGGGCACTGCCCTTACACAGCAGCAACCACCAAACCGCTGCTTTACTTCTGAGGTCAATGAATGGGTTAATTTAAAGTAACTTGTTAAGATCAGCAGTAGAACCAATCGCGCTAGACACACCTAAAGAGTGAGATGAAGAAGAACTACGAAAACCTGAACGAGGAGACAGTAAACGGCACATACATCCTCAAAAAAAATAAAAAGAGCGCGTACGCACACACCGACAAATTATGCCTGGTTTCTTGATCGTTCAGCCTCTTTGAGAATGGATGAGGGTGAGGTTAAGTTGTGAGTGGCTGTGGCTGAAAGTGGAGCTCTCAGCGGCAGCACAAACACAGTCGCTTGGATGTTTGCACCGCTTTATTTCGCCATCACTTGGTTTTCTCCTCCGAGTGCCTCAGCTGCTGCAGCCTCTTGGCGTAGCTCTGAGCCATGGAGTTCACGATGGAAATGACAAAGTAGCAGACCATGACCAGCACCACCTTCTCAAACACCCACGACAGCCAGTTCTCATCCTGAAAAACCCCAAATTAGGGTGGACATGCTTTATTTTTTTTACCCTCGTACAAGCAAACAGTGAATATCAGCTAGACTGATAAAACCAGCCATTTACAACTGAAGGATATGCTAATAATTAAGAGACTGCTATGCACAGTTTGTCCACCAGAGGGCACTGACACATTTTATACAGTTATTAATTAATTACACTTATTGATATATAGAAGGGCTTGTTATGCCACTTCCTAAAATCTGAATTTGCATCAACACTTTTGCTATGCTTCTGAGTCTCTAGTGCATGGATTTAAAGGTAGTTAGGTAGATACTACAGCTTTTAATTTTACAGATTATATTAAACCTTGCCCCAAAAAAAAAAAAAAAGAAAATCTCATTCGCTTAGTGGCTGCCATTTAATAAATAAAGCTAATAGACCAAAAATAATGCATGGTAAAGTCTAAATATTCTTACCGCTGGTGCACTTCCTCCAGCATGGTGCAGCTTGTTCCTTTGTGCTTCCAGGTACTGCCTGAAGGGTTTCTGGAGAGATGGCCCTAGTTTGGGCACCGACCTGACATGGCATACCCACAAAGCAGCAAAAGACAAAAAGAACAAAGAAGAGAGAGAGAGAGAGAGAAGGAGGTGAAACATTTAGTTACTTACCCTTTAAGCAGCCTTCTTAGACATGGAAACCAAAACTTCAGATCCTGCGAACTAAGCTATTCAAGTCTTCCCTTTCCCTGAACAATACTTTAGAGAAAAAAGAAAGAAGAAGGTCCTCGCTGATCCAGTCAAACAGCATTCAGGCCAGGCAACAACTGCTGAAGGCCCCATCCTACATGTGGGCCCTATCTTGGAGCTGCCACCTCCTCTAATTGTTACTGTGAGCAGGAGCAGGCAGCAGAGAGGAATGAAGCAGAAACTCCTCAACCCTCCTTTTATACCCTTTAGCTCTCTATAGGAGTCTGTGTCAGCCCCTTCACTGAGGAAGTGAGTCGACATGATGTCATCACCTTTACCAACATTGCTGCCTTCTGGATGGAAAGACATCTAATGAGGGCGTGCTAATGCCCTTATTAGGTAGTGAATTAGCTCACTGGGGGGGTGGTGGTGGTAGTCATTATTAATACAATTTTAACAATTCATGTCATAGACAGGTACTGGTATTGTAGTTTTACTACTGGGTCAGCAGCAGTACAGTTTGAAGAAGAATCGCTACATGACCTCAAACTTATCATTACCATGAAAAGAAAAATATACTGCAGGCTGTACTCACAGCCTTCCCACCGCATGAATTCAATTCTGGCCCTGGACAGGACATAAACATGTTGTCTAGACCTGACTAGACTAAGCAAAAACATGAGCGATAACACACACACACACACACACTGGGTAATTGCTGATGTCACTTAAACCTAACTAGTTTTGTGTGATTCATTCTTGTTATCGCTTTGACTTTACATGTAAGCACACATGAATTCACACAAACTGGAAAAGAAACATCCTGTATCAGCAAGGAAAAACTATCTGCACACATCATAGCGAGTCACTGAGAGTCATCTGTACAGCAGCAGCAACGTGGGAAAGAACCTTGAATTTCATTTTAAATCAGAGAGTGTTTTTGGTAAAGTAAAAAAGAAGTTCCTATGAAAGAGGATACCAATTTTAAAACTAGCTAAAGGTGTGGGCCACCTGCAGCCAACTTTGACCTTAGGTGGGCTGGAGCAGCGAGAAATCTTCTCTGTCAGTGTGAAGAAGTTAAATCACACATTTAATCGCTGAGATATTGTAATATAAGAAAAAAAAAAGTGCAATTTCAGCAGTATGTCTCAGTTTTTCTGTCTTTTTAAAAAATTGAATGGGTCTGGCCACGAAGCATACACCCGACCCATCTTTCAAATCTGGGGAAAAGGACGACGCATTTGTCGGCCGCATCTGGAGGAGTCTTGTAATTTGGACAGCCTTCATCGCATCGCTGTGACATAATCGACCTACAAATGCGGCCTCCGAAGGATGCGGCCCCTGAATTTGGACACAGCTACAATACCGGAGACTGCTTCTTCTTCTTCGGCGTTTAACGGCAGCTGGCATCCTTGTAGATGCATTGCTGCCATCTTCCATTTCAGTCCGTTATTGCGTTCTTAAATCCTACAACTTATTCCTGCATCTTTCAGGATCTTACAAAGC